TAAGACCGCAGTCAGTAGCTGCCCAAATTTCGCTTACTACATTATTCACTTGACATATGTATACAAAGTTTGCATGACTTAAGTATTGAACACATAATGTAATAAAATAGTTTCTAACAAAAAGATGAGTGAAATATAAACACAATGTAAACAAAAACAACAAATAAAATATATACACTAGAACCAAACAGGTAATACAAGAAATATTTTGGAAAATATGAAAAAACAACAGTTGACCACTGATGACAGAGTTGCAGTATAAATTGTGTAGCTGGTTGTGTATGAGCTTAGCCCATAGAACAACGTACATGTATGTACAAAAAATAACTAGACGGAGAAGCATAGATGTGGTGGCATAGTTGTGGGTTTCGAATTGCAAAAAAATATCTATATATATATATATAGACAAATATTAAAGGCTATATTAAAATTTATTACAAATTTTGAACAGCTTAAGAGAAAAAAAAAGTGAAAATGACATTTTAATTGTTGAAACAAAATGCAGATTTTGTTTGTTAACTGTTCGTTGTATATAATATAGGTATTTATACACAGACAATCACATTTAATAAATATCTGGAAAGGACGGATGTCAAAGCTAGCGGATAGATGCTATCACTGCGGAACGTGGCCGAACGGACAGAGGTCGTCCTCCTGTCTGATGAGATACGTTTTTTTCTTATTATCTCGGATGCGGATTTTTCCGTTTGATGACCAAGCCTGTAGTATTTTATGCTGTCGGCAAAGCTGGCGACACATATATAGTAGTTTGTCTCGACGCTTGGTGAGATCCTCGTTGATCATCACATGCCTTGTTTCAGGATTCGCTTTTAAGCTTTCGTAGCTTTTAACCAGCATAAATTTCAGATCGACAGAACGCAGTCTTGCAATTATCTGTCTTGGTCCCGATCGCCCTCCTTGATTCGATTGCTCGTTTCTTGGTGCCCCTACCCTGTGCGACGTCACGATATCATCTCGGTTTAGGGGAATTCCGGCCTTAGCAGTGACACCCAAGATGAGGTCTGTGGTGTTTTCATTTTCATTTTCAGGAATTCCTGCAATTCTGACGAGAGGTCTACGACCGTATTGTTCTAGCTCGTCTAATTGAAGTTGTAGGTCATTATTTGATGTTTCGAGTCTTGTAATTTTTTCATAGAGAGGCTGGACGGCTTTTGCTACTTCTTTCCTGACTAGTTCAGCAATTTCATCCTGAATTGATAACTTTACCGCGGTGGCAATGCGTACAATGTCATCCTCACCAATTACCACTTGGTGTGTCATGGAAGGAATGGGTGGAAATTCCTTGGGATCCAGCTCTCTCAGAGGGGTGGAGGTGGTTATGTGAGATGGTTCAGACACAGACCCATCCCTCTGTTTTTTAGGTGACCTCATGATGTCCGAAAATGACTTAGACATATCACTTAAGTTCCTCTTGTTGTCCCCTTTCTCGGCCATTGTTTATACACAGACCAATACAAATATAGGGAATTGTGTATTGACAATATTATCAGTGTTACTGAAAAAAGTTTTATCTAGAGCTGTTCTGTACTGATGACCATTTGTTTACCGATAATTAACACAAATAAAACACATATGAAATGAACTTATACTATGAAATTCGATAGGCATTTGAAACGACGTTGCCAGGAGGTCGTGAGTAGTTATCAACAATATAAATAGTGTCAAAGTTATTTCGAGCTACTCACGTCTATATAAGCTTTTTTTCCTAGCAAAACATAATCACTATTTGTTCAATACCCCTCCTGTAGTCTTCCAATATCTTTTTTTCACAATTCTCCCACGACTTTTGGAAATTTTCTACATATTTACACCAGCTGATTTTGAGCCAACCGCCACTACCAAGGGGCGCAACTCCTTTTTGTTTACGAATCATCTCATTAACCTCTATCAATTGATCTTCTAAATGAAATAAATGACTTTTCCCTCTCTCATGAGCAACCATTACAATGCAGCCTTGTCTCTAAAATCTCGTAACAATGTGCATCCTCCATTTTTAACACTAATTGTTCAGTGCTATATCGTCTATCTCTACCTACAACATTGCCATCAAATAAACACAAATTATTTGCTCATAAAATGTCTACGGTTTAATATCCCGCAGTTTCCGCTCTTCTTTGATTGTTACAGCAGCCTCCAGGAGTCGTACTTCCGGTAGATGCTTCAAAGTAGAAGCTAGTACAACCTTAAAGGTCAATGTTACAACCATTGGAAATGTTCAGCAGAATTTTACGACCATAGTAAAGTATTTTTAATTCATGTGGCAAAAGTTTCACAATACGGGTATTAAATTGTCTTGCGAATCAACAGATCAATATGTGTCAGTTTCATTTTTGTTTCCCGAAGAAATTGTGTTTTTAAGCTTCTAAGTAATGATTTTTTGTTCTTTGATAATCATACAATATTTTGATATGATTAGGACATTTAGTGTTTGTCATATCCGCCCTTCCTTTCTTCCATTTTTCTGCCATTCCGTTCTTCTGACCTCCCGCCTGTCAATCCTCACATTTTGCATTATAAGCCGTTTCAAAGAGGCTGTAAACGATAGTTTAATCAAAATTCATGATCATACATTGCTGCATATTGAGTTAGCTACATGTAATTAAGATAATTTAGCTTTTTTTTTTTTACTTAAGAGTTCCATTTGACCTAGACTGATATTATAATATTCCTTATTTTGTGAATAGCTTAGATTCAAAGTAACTATTGAAAATATGATCGAATGTTATTTGAAGTTCACTCTTTGCATTGTTTTACTCATTTCATTTTTATAACTTCATGAAGATTATCCCATAGAACTCCATATACATGTATCGATAATGAATCTTGGCTGAGAATGAGAGAGAGGGAGACCTAGAAGCAGTTAAGGAGATGTCATTATCTTTAAGATGATAGATATGACTGAAGAGCACTACCGACCATGTTTTAAAGGACAACTGTACCGAGGCGAACAGTTCTATTAATTCTGTATGCAGATGATCAAGGTATATTGCTTCATAAGTAAGGAAAGTTTACGATTGAAAATTAAAAGTTTATCATAAAGCTTTTTTGTTAGATAACCATTAACGTATTTTTCTAGTAAAATACCCAAATATGAAACAGATGTGTCAGACTCTGTCGTATTTTTTATTTCAAGCACACAGGGATAAATCGTGTCGACATAAGAATGGAAATAACTATAGTTATATATCTTAATGTCTAGTTGAAGGCCAAAGCAAATATTTTCTTCTTTTCACATATAAGATATTGGACTAATTCTGCTTCATACGAATACAAAAATAGGTCTGCTATTAACGGAGCGCAATTGGTATCCATGGAAATTCCAATAGATTGTTGGAAGGTCTGGTCTCCAAAAACCACATAGATATTGTCAATGAGAAGCTAGAGCATATCTTTTATATCAACTTAAGAGAACTTGTGTGTACAATCAGATTGTTTTTTTTTAAACAAAATAAATTTGCAAATGGTCAATGACAAAGTATGTAAATTCACGAGTTCCATTCTTATTCTTAAAATATTTGCAAAATGCAGAAACTATCATTTTTCTCCTGACTGAATTGAACAAATATTATGTAACCTCTCTTTAAGTATGAAAATGGAATAAACACAGACCTACTGGATGTCAAATTACAAGACAGATGGTATTAAAAGACCATTCTGAATTCTTTAGTATAATCTGGATGTTTTTTATCTTGTTTAGGATGGACAGGAAATGTCAGCCCCAGTAAATTTCTATTTTTCTTATAGAATGGTGTATTATTGAGCGATGTATTTATGTACATGATTATGCGTAGAATGCGGTCAATAATTTTATGAAAAATACCATAAATTCTTACAAAAATGCAAAGCCAGTAAAAGACGTCTTTCATAAAAATCCATTGGATAATTTGTATTTGCTATGAAAGTGAGATATATTTCAGCAGCAAAAAGTGTTATACCAAAGAAAGTCGCTCTCTCGTATATAAAAAAAAATGTCCACCTGAGAACGGAACTTGTTAATCAGAACATCTAATCTGATTTATGCCATTGAAATTGCAGGACTCTCACACAAAAATGAAAAGTTTGTCAATTTGTTTCCGAACTAAAGTTGTTGCTTCTTGATCCTGTCAATTTCTGTGTCAAACTAGGTAGGAACTAGGCTAAAAAGTAAAACAAAACATAAATCAGTTCATTAGAAAGAAACTACCATCGTTTTATATGAAAACATAATAAATCATCGCTATCTTGATTAAGGCGATGTCGAGACAATGGCGTCATTAGTTGTATTTTGAACATTTTTTTCTGTTTATTAATCATCTTCCAATAAAAAAAGAACATTTATTGCACGAAAGGCACACAAGTCATGCAAAAGAACCGTATGTTAAAACATTAAGTTGGCATGGTTTGATGTTAATGTTGAAATATTATCGCTTTATTACAGCATCAATTTTGTTAATTATGATTATTATCCCAATAGATTATCAGGTTGAACGGAAATACTGGATGGTGTTTCACAAAAACCAACATTTTATTTCAGGGAAAGGGTGCGCTATAAAACAAAATATACTTTCTAAACAGTAGTCTGTGTATTTTAAATATTCCAATCATTCGTTAAGAAATCTGAATATTTTACAATAACAAGTCTTGTACAATTACAGAGCGCATGTGATCCATCTTGCTTTAAAAGCTAGAGAATAGTTCACAAACGCAAGTTCTAGAGTAATTTTTAAATCCTTCCCTAAACATACATCATAACACTTTTTTTTATAAAAATTCAAATTTGATACCATTACAAGTATTTTTGAACCTTGCATGGCTCAAATACTTGTAAGAATTGGTAATCTTATTTTTGCTCCTAAAATACTATAGAATTTTTAGGAATACTAGAGAAAGAGCAAGCATGTAATTGTTTAAAGCAAGTAATTAAAGATTATCATAGAATTGAGACAAAGAAAATGATAATACATGTAATTGATTGAAAATTTATGTTAATTTAAGTAATTAAGAAGAAAAGTTTTGGCACATGAAGTTTAGGTTTGTTTCCAAAAGTTCTCGATAATGACGAAAAAATACACATTCATTAAAAAACAGCAATATTTTTCTACTTTTAAACGTGACGACTTCCCTTACTTATTCAACAATATACCTTGATCATCTGCAAACTGGGTTTATATCGGGGGATCGAATATGGGGAATCAGTTGATTCGATACGCAAGAGTACATTGTATGCTCTAAAAGAGTATTTCTAAAACGAGATAAGTTATTGACAAACAAGTTGAAGAAACAAGAATATAAGTTGTCTCGTTTAAAGACATCATTTTGTAAGCTCTAACTGGTTACAAATGACCTTGTCTACAAATATAATTTATCATTAAGTCAAATGACTGACGTTTTTCATTCTAATTATCTGCACATTGAATTGTCGACAGATTTTCCCGTTATATTTCCCTATCATGACAGGTGTGACTGGTCGGCAGGGCATGTTCACTCTTCCATGACACCTGATCTCACCACCGATGATTTAGAGGTTGCTCTCCTTCAAAATATGTTTGTTTAATAGACTTTTGAGTTTGAATACTGCCTGTTTGTTATATCCATTATGATATTGTATTTAAGAATTTGATATCTCATTCAAAAATAAGAAATAAGTACACACTCTACTTTGTTAATAATGCCCGAAAACAAACAATTTAAAAATCTTTTGAAATTTCACTCTTTTCTCTAAATAGAGGGGGGTAATAAAGGAATAGTGTGTAAAATGTTTGTTTAAATATGTTAAAAAATATGAAACATCGAAAAAGCTAGAGATCTTAACCGGGGAGGGTGGGGCTCCTGTCCCCTGGCGCCTCTAAAAACATCTGAAGAAAAGGAAGCTTGATTAATAGAGAAAAATAATGCATTATATTATATGTAACTTGAGATACTCTTCATGGCACCCAATGCTTTCATTATCTGATCATATGAAACAAACAGTTAACTTATAGACAAAATGGAAAGTAAGTGAATATAAAGTGTGTATAATAAATCATTATGGTAGGTATATTTTGGCTGGTTTAAGAGATCAAATTCAGAAATGAATCATTTGATCTGACAACTGTTGAGAATAATAACAGAGGAACAACTGTGTATTATCATTAAGATAGTCTTATTTCAGTATTATATATTACCTCAAACAAAACATATACCATGTCAGATAATAAACTGCTTACCTTAAAAGATTTGTTATTTTTTTCTTCCTGGTACAAATTTAACATGATGAAAATACAAAAAACAACAGAAAACAACAAAAATGCATTCAAGAAATACATCGGCGAAGTGAAGCCACTTGTAAACTCTGTGATGTTTTTAAAGGAAGAAAAATACAAATACATGTAGTACGTGTAGAGAGATTCAATTTGTTACGTGTGTAAAAAATAATTATAAAATGCAATGTATTAAATGTAAGAAGTGATTCCTCTTCTAAACACAGTTACAAATTATACATTAATGAGATGACCAATGAGATCGCTGATGTAATGCTGACGTAAGACCAACACGTGCCAGTTGCGTGGTTACAGTAGTCTGTATCACATAAGCACAGTTTTGCTGTATGTCCTGTGATATTCATTTCATGACAACCGTTTGTTTCGTTCACATTAAGACTTCCGATCCTATAACAGCTTCGAATAATTCCTACCCAATGTTCTGTAAAAAAGTTGGAACTATTACTTTATTTATTGAACAAGCTTAAAATGTTTTGTAGGCAAAGTTGTAAGTTGTACCATAATGACAACCATCCCTCTAAAACTTTCCAATTTTCCGAAGTTTTCTAGTTTTTTGATAACTTTAATTTATACTGGACATATATAATGAGGTAACTATAATGTAATTATAAAAAAGTGAAAAATGAATGTTAATAACTAAGTAATAATAAGCATGAAAGGCCGAGCCAAGTGAAGTACAGTTATTTTTCTCAAGTTTTCATTAAAAAAACCAAACAAAGCACTTGATATCACAGGTAATTTTGACTGATATTTTAAAACTTTCTACCGTATAGAACTAGAAATACAAATAGAACTATATACCTCTTCCTTTGGGAAGTTCTCGTTGAAGGGCACACTTAACGTTTTCCTCTTCTCCACTGCAAGGCTGGGCAGTAAACTGGTATGGTTTAAAGTACATGCCACAAGCTGGATTCTCCAGATTATTACAGTGGTAACACTTCAAGGATACAACTAAAACATCGAAAAAAAAACCTCAAATCGTAAGAATTAAAATAATTGTAGAATTTAATTTTGTTAACCTTTTTGATAAATGTTACCACCTACACTTTATTTCAACAATTTCATTGCTATGATATAAAAATATGGAAACAATAAGGTTTGATGTCTCACCCACTCCTCAATTTTTCGGTTTTAAATAGGTTTGTAATTTCCTATTAACTTAAAATTATGTTCCGATGACCAAGTGGTTCTTTTCATCTTCGATTAGATTGAAGAAAACCTTTAGTAGTCAGACACTGTAATAAAATTCGCATTTACATCCTCGAAGGTCATAAAATAGAAATTGCTCTAGGAAATACTTTCTGCCTGAAAAGCAGCACTCTAAATGAACTTTGATACCAAGATTTTTAATAGGATGAGAATTGTCTGTAGATAAGATATACGGATTATCTTTAGACAAAAATTGTGAATTATCTGTGGACAAGAAGAATTGATTATTTGGAGTCAACATCTTTTTATTTATCCATGGACAAGAAATGTGAATTCTCTGTAGAAAACAAATGAATCTGAAGACAAGATATATGGGTTATCTGTAGACAAACGTAAAACGTATGAATTATCTATAGACAAAACGTATAATTCATCTGAAACAACACGTATGAATTATCTGTAAACAAGAGTAATGAAATACACTGTATCTTTAGGCAAGACGTGCATTGTTTACAAAACGTGTGAATTATCTGTATACAAGAACGTATGATTTATCTGTGGACATAAGTCCATGAAATATTTGTAGACAAAATGTGCATTGTCTGTAGACAAGACGTGTTAAATATCTGTAGAAAAGACGTATCAAGGAATGACGTGAATTATCTGAAGTCAAGAATGAAGAAATATCTGTAGACAAGACGTGAATTTTCTGTAGACAAAAATTGTTAATAGTCATCAAATAAGATGAGTGAATTATCTATAGACAAAAATCTAGAGCTTTAGTGATGTTAACTGTATTATGCTGGGGGAAAATTACATTCAGAGAGTCATATAAATTAATCATTACCTTATATACATATGTGCTTTTGCAAATTTTTATTTTGAAGGTCTGCGATCATATACCATATCATCTTCTCCGATCAATTTGTATGAAATGTAATCATATCCTAGTCTTTCTATTTTATTTTACGGAATTCAATGTCAGACACACATATATCCTTTTTTTCAAACCAAAGACGATCGAGTATACTCAAATGTACATACATGTATATTCATGTATCTATCAACAACAAGTCAAAATATTCCTAATAATTGATGTCTGGAGTCAAAGAATTAATGTTGATATTTTTTTAAGAAAAGCATAAAACAAAAAGGGGGAAAATGGGCCATTCTAATAACGAATTGCATCAGGAGGAAGGCACAACTTTCTTAAAATTTATGAAGGTATAAAGATGCCACGGCACTGTTTATAACTTCAAAGGCACATTAATCTTACCAACATAGGCTCAATACATTGTTTCTAATTTTATATGTGTACTTTAACTCTGAATATCGTACTTTCTGAACTCTGAGGAAAATACTAACTTATAATTAGAAATTTCAAAGTCGTTGAAGTTGAAAAGGAGATGTCTAATTTTTATCTAAAAAAATTTCAATGGTGTAATTACACTAAAATGTTAAATAAACTGCGTAATGGATACAGTTATCTAGTTATGGGATTTTGACTATAAAAAAACATCAACAGAAAATACATGTAATTATAAAAGTTAGAAAGAGTTCAATACAATCTGAATACATTTATATTTTTATATCAAAATCTAACATTTCCTTGCACATTCGAAAGGTAAGAATCTAATCGAAAAGAAAATAAGCATTAAAATACATCTTCTGTTTAATGAAACATTTTTGTTTGGATTAATTGTTCTTTGAGTTTGATGTTTGGTGGAGCTCAAAAATCCACAAGAGTATCTTGTTTCTTCAGCTATTAAATTTATTGCATTTATTTAGACCCAATAACGTTTTTGCCAATTCATGAAAATTCGACCCCTTCAAATCAAATGATATTTGCAGTTATATAAAAAATAATATATACATTATCATTTTATGTTCACAAAGAACCTATATAACTGATACTTACCGAATTTAACGAAGAAGCCAATTAGTAAACATATACCCCATCCACCATTAATCTGCATCTCACATACCATTCAGATTTCACTTCCGGTTTATCATAATTATCTTATGGCAATTCAGCTCTGTAAAAAGATAAGAATTTTTATAATTCTTCGCAGATCAAAGAAAGGGCTGGTATAATTGTAAACCATTCTGGAAGTCCTTTTGAATAACGATCCGAACTAAGAATAAGAATAGAGACCTCAAAGATCCAAATAAATGCTACATTCTGAAAAGTTCTCACTCTCTGTATTGAAAAGGAAGCTAAATCAATCATGCAGTGCAATGAGGGTGTAGATATGGTGAGAAAAATTGGCGAGAAGTGTTATAAAATGTGAAAAAGCCTGGTGTAAAGAAACAAGGAAAGTGTTAGTTACGTGAAGATTTCAACTAACTGCAGCATAAACAGGCATTCATTTTTTGATTGCGTAAGATTATTGATTATTTCATAATTTTGATTCACAAAATGTTACAAATATTGCCAAATGAATGTGTGAGATGGTATTAATTAATTTTGCTTTATGACATTTCTTGCCCACTTTAGGTCATGTGTTAATTCCAAAATAGATTTGTTATCCCTATCAAATGTAACTTCCTAAATGGATGTTTTAAATACCGCGGTATATCCTGTTACATAATTTTTTTTTTTAAATCAAACTGGAAATAATTAATAAAACAAGAGTACGTATTAGGATGTGAGAAAGCTTTACCATTTTTTTTTTCAAAAAAAAAAAAAAAAAAAAATTTAGAGAGCTTATTGGTCATAAAAACACACAAAGACTTAAAAGACATTCAAGAAAGAAACTGTAATTAATGTAATGATTTGAATCATGTTTGATAAAAGTGCACACATTAGTGTACATTGACAGATTACGAGTATAAAAATGGAGAAAAAAATGCTTACTAGCGGTATGTCACCCCGACACTAACTCTAAGATAGAAAGTGAAGATAACGAACAGGGACCGATCTCATGAAAATCAGCTACAGTACAAATCTGTGATCGGGGAACTATCACAGACTTTTAGAAATTCCAATGTTGGATCAGGTGCCCAAGAGGATTATGCATCCCTGCTGACCGATCAAGACCGCCGTGACCCCTAATTAATGTTACAGTATCTATCAGGAAAAAAGATGGGGAATTCCGTAGTCTCCACACAAATATCACATACAGACAACAATACTTTTTACTTTATAAAAATAAAAACTTTTATTCAATGCATGCAATGACACAAAGTTCAGCCATAGGTTCATTGGCCACAGCATGAAGTTCATGTAGCAGTAAAGGTGAGAATGGTAAGACTGTAAGCATCGATATACATGTATGCATCATTGAGCTCTTCATCAATATGTACGGTTTTATGTTGTTTTCGTAATGCGATGATATGTCTATATGGGTTTTTTTTCTGCAATGACACCTTTATGTTTCATCACTCCTGTATAGTTCTTCGTTCTCCATCAAGTACGCCTGTACTACGTATTCAATGTATTTTTGTTTCGTGGAGTGATAAGTTTAGTTATTAGTTCTGAGCAATTTTATGAAAGGGTTCTATATTGTACAGATATATCCTTGTTAGTCATAAAACTTTTTCCGACTCTCTCTACTTAACTTTTGAGTTGTCAATAGACACCAAGCAAGACTTTTGTCTATTGATAATTTTTAAAAAAAATCAGGAAATGAGAGTTAGAGGAAAATCGGCAACTACCTTTCAGGGGTTATGGAGCATACCTTTTTATTTTTCAAGAGACACTAGGCCAAACCCGTGAACCTTTGAATATACAAGAATGGATGTTAAAGAAAAACCAGGTTCCAACTTGCACAGGTTACAGGTCTTATATTTCTCAATTTTTAACTTTGTGAATAAGAGATTCAAATGTCTTGTCAATTTTACTGTTATCATTTCATTCAATGTACTAACAAATTTTTTAGAATAAACATACACATTTCCATTTAACGATCATTTTTCCCCAGCTTATTTTGCAAGTCATTTGTAGTTGCCTTCTTGCATGTCTCAGCTAATATTCAGTCTACTTTAATAAGGCTTCTCTGCCTATACGTCTTCAAAATAAATAGACTTTAGCCTCCTTATTTGGTCAGGGACTCTTTTGCTGTGTAATTCCATGTCTGTAATTGAGTTGATATTAATAAGATATTTTACTATTTTGAACAAACCTAAGGCAAAAGAGAATGATAAACGGCCACTTGCCTCGTTTCAGGCTAATGAAGATATACTATAAACCTACGAAAGCCCAGAAGGCTCATTCGAGATTCAAGTTTCGAAATACGAGATTCAAAATTCGAGATTCATGATTCATATTAACCAATCAAAAGGCTCATTCGAGATTCGAGGTTCGAAATACGAGATTCGAAATTCGAGTTTCGAGATTCAAAATCCAGATTAACCAATCAAATGCGGGTTCAACATTTGATTACTCCCCTTTATTATTTTTTATCTATCAATAAATCGTTCAATATATTGATAACAAATGAGTCATTTGATTAAATTACAATGCAAGAAAGAGTGTTATATATATAACATATTTATAAAAGGTGACTAAAGATTAACAAAATCTTCACTCCTACCCTCCACACTTGCCACTATCACTTGCCTTTCAAGTTTTTAAAGTAACATTTTCAGTTTCGGGAAAAATTGGCAGGTGTGGCGGGTAGGGGTGGGGACTTTGTTAATTTTTAATCACTATTTATAAATTTATTATTATGTCAGCAACCCTTTATATAAAGGAGACAATGCAAAAATATATATATTCATGATATATGTATTCTATTTAATATTTAAGAAGTCATACTATAAATTGAAGTATATCTTGCTGATAAAAAGTTCAATGATTATTTAACTTTCCTTCTAATATATATAACACTCTTTCTTTTGTATTGTAATTTAATCAAATGACTCATTTGTTATCAATATATTAAACGATTTATTGATAGATTAAACATAATAAAGGGGAGTAATCAAATGTTGAACTCGAATTTGATTGGTTAATCTGGATTTTGAATCTCGAAACTCGAATTTCGAATCTCGTTTTTCGAACCTCGAATCTCGAATGAGCCTTTTGATTGGTTAATCTGAATCTTGAATCTCGAAACTCGAATTTCGAACCTCAAATTTTGAATCTCGTATTTCGAAACTTGAATCTCGAATGAGCCTTCTGGGCTTTCGTAATAAACCTGACCAGAAAGTTGCATAAAAGAATAAACCAAAATATTGATTATTGACGTGTTTGAATTGTACTTTTTAATTTCAAACAGGATATATTCTTAAATTATTTTTAAGCTAGTACAGTGTATATCCTATAGGGTATAATTAATGCCTATGGATTAAATGCCAAATGAGTAATAAATTTATATTAAATGAATTTAACGTCATATCAGCCTCTATTGATGAGAAAAGCTGACAAGAAATTGTATAAAACTGCGGAAGAAGTTGCAATTTCCTGCAGATTTATTCTACATTAGGCAACAATTAACGCATACAGTACAGTATGCATGGCGAAGACGTCAAGTTTTCCAAAATACTAAAATACCTAATTATAGAATCAATGCAGAAAAATTATAATAATGATAATAAAGTTTGCATTCAACAAGTGTTTTTTTTCAGTCCTTCAAAGAAACCTTTTAATATTTATACCTTTGTCGTAAACTATAAGGACTTCATTTTATGGATACTTATTACATTTAATTCATTTTTTATGTAAATGACACCGTTGCTGATCATGAGCATCAAATGTTTCTCCTCTCTTATTAGCTTTCTTTAATCTTCAGTACTATTTATTCACTGATTGGATTGCAAAAGTAATAATTTTAGCAAATAAAAGCTATCATGAAGTCAAATGCTGACTGGCGTTTTTCATACTACATGCACATTGTACTTGTTAGGCTGTTATTATTCGCCGATCATGACAAGGAATACACGGCGGCTTTGACAGGTCGGCAGTGGATACTCACTCCTCCATGGTAACTTATCCCACCTCTGATGTTTTAGACGTCCGTGTTTGCTCTGCTCAAATTTAAATAGTTTAATGAATCTTTTAGCTTGAATACTGTTCGTTATCTCCATATATTACACTAAAACGTTCTGGAATTTGAGTAAAATAAATGCTACTTATGATATCTAGTTTAAAATCAGAAATCTAGTTTATATATAACATACAATTCTCATTCAATGTAGATGATCAATTCTCTGAAGATGCTTTTTAAAAATAGTCATGTTGTAGTTTTGTATTTTATCAAGTCATTTTTATTCAATGATTCAGATAGGTTATTAACCTTTCCTAATTTATTGAGTCAGTTCTTATATCACTCACTTACAATAAAATGCAGTTATGGCTTTAAATAAAATAAATTTTATGGCTTTAGGTTCGTGACTTAACAATTAATATTGGTAAGTCTGTGCGCTTGAAATGGACGAGTGCTTGTATGCTGAATGCCATAACAATTTACCAATTGGCAACATGTGGGCAATAAACATAAAAAAGAAATGGAAAGATTTTTCCTTGAACTTTATGCCTAAGAGTTATAATTAGCACGTGCATGCGATGGATTGGCGATATGAAAAAATAAGTGTTTTTTTCTTTTTAATGACTTATTGGTTTCTTAAGGTAGTCCGATCCTCAGGTTTATAAAATTAGCAGTTAAGTAATCAAAAGTGCAAAGTTATGTAAATTTATCCACAGTATTTCTTTAAAGTTAAAGATTAAAGTTAATCATATTATATAGGGAAAATTGCCAAAAATTTTTACAGAAAAAAGAATACCAGCAATGCATTTTCTTGCAAATTTCTCTTCCAGGTTTTTAATGATTTTTTTGTCATGTATTCTATAATATATAGTGTAAAGGGCTTTTGCTATCATTGCAAGACACCACAAATCACTTCTTATTTCATATCATGCTATATATATCATGTGTAAAACTGTATTAATTTTTTTTTGTTTATATATTTCAACTTTTATAAGATTTTTAAAATACAATCTTATAAAGAAATAAAATGAAAATTGTTGCATGAAAAAATTTCATTTTCAAGCTTCATTTTGATGCATTTCAAATTAAATATTAATTTTTGGAGTTATCCTTCCTGGCGGAGGATCGGATATCGTTAATCTTATCCTACATGCATATATATCATGTGGTGTTTGTTTTTTAACTTTAAGATTTTCAAAATGCAAATTACAGCAATATGGACTGTTGGAAATCCAATGGTCATTTGAGAAAATGAGATAGAGCATATTATACTTAGAAATCGAAGGAAAACCACAATATCAAAAGAAACAAGATGGTTCACTACATGTATCAAATAACCAATTAGTATCTCAAACAGTGCATTAAGGAAACACACACACTATTTGAGACCAAGTAAAAAAGAAGATTAATCATCTAGTTCTTTTTTTTTTTTATAAATCAATACATGCTGTTGTTCTTTTTCAGATGTCTTTCAGTGGTATATTTAGATCGTCATCTTAACTAAATACTGTTAAAAGACAGTTATACTCGCAAGGAGGTATTTGTCTCTAAATATTTCACCTTCATATATGGGGGAAAAAGGGACGAAGCCATAATAAATAAAACATAAGACCTTTTTAGCCCACGGCGAAAATCGACATTCTGAAGCTGAATATACATTTAGAGGATATGATCAGCCTAATTTCAAAATACAGATTTATAAAATCAAAAAACCTGAGTTCAGAAACGGAATTGCATATCTACAGGAAAATCCCTATCATATTTCAAAATATATATGGGACACTGCAGTGAATGTGTTAGAAATTCAGGGAAATAGGTTTTTAGTGAAAATACAGCTTTCCAAAAATTGAGTTGGTGGCTGGAAGAAAATTGAAATAAAAGGAATTCAGGGAAACATGTTTTTTTTTTTTTTTGTGTGTAGAAAACGCTAAACCTGCTATTGCATTTAGCGTGAAAATCGAAGTACCGAAACTTTATTATTGTACAGTTAGAGAAAACTGTCAATAATTATCCAGAATAAGAATAGAGTGTTATTTTAATTCTTTTTATAGGAGTTCTAGAAACCGGGCGTTTGTAGGAAAAAAAAACCTTTTCTGGTCTCCAACTTGGTCCCTCGGGAGAAATTAAAATTCCGATATCTTGTACATTTTCAGGACGTTCATTAACATTTGCAAAATATGAAAGTCATAGCTCCACTAAATCAAAAGTTATGGACAAGGTTAAAGTTTTTGCGGACAAACAGACAGACGGACGGACACAACTAAAACGATATATACCCGAAACTTCGTTTACGGGGACGTAAAAATAATCAAATACATAACATCCAAATCAATTTTACCGCTAATAGTTGTGAAATACACAGAGAAACATAAAACTAAATAAGTGCAGTTGCTTACAATTTCTAAGAAAAAAAAATAGCTTATTCAGATCATATGACATTGTATCGAGAATGAAAAAAAAGCATTCAACTGAAAACATGTAACAACGATCAAAATGCCGAAAGAATTTTAGGGGAGATGTAATAAGCACTTATTGATTTATGTGCAGGAAATATGCTGAGAAAGAATCATTCTTCTTTTAATCCCTTACATCCTGTTTTACATTTGCCAAGAATTGATTTGCATTAATAAAAAAAATATGGTCAATCATTACAAAAAATGAATATCAAACGATGAGACAACACATACACCGACATTAGCATTTAACTGTACCAAACTGTTATTTCAAAACTTTCTTTGATGTTTCTAGAGGTTAATTTTAGGATCAATGCATTTTTACCATGATCTCTCTTTATTAATCAAAGGAAAACTGAGTGGTAAATTTGTATAACATGTTTTTTCTCAAGTTTTTTATCAACCACTTAAAATTGTTATAATATTACTAGTTTTAATAATTGTTCGGACAGAAAAAACATGAAGAGAGAAGTAGATGATTTGATAATGGATTGGAGCACGTGGAAACTCCATCCCCATAACATCAGGGTTCCAGGGCCCACTAATGGACGTTGGACACCTGATAAATTTCAACTTTTTAACTTTATACACAACGATCCCCCACGATAAATTCAAGTCCAGGCTATTTGGTATCATTGACAGCTGCTTCTTCTATAAAAATGGAACTCATAAATTTACTTACCTTGTACTTACCTTTGCAAAATTATTTTGTCAAAAACAATCTGATTGTACAAACATGTACTCTGAAGTTGACATCAAAAATATACTTGAGTTTCTGATTGACAATATCTATGTCGATTTTGGAGACCAGGTCTTCCAACAATCTATTGGAGTTCCCATGGGTACCAATTGCGCCCCGATATAAACTGAACCTATATTTGTATGCACATTAAGTATAATTTGTCCAAAATCTTATACGTGAAAAGAAGAAAACACTAGCTGTGGCCTTCAACTCGACATTTAGATATATCGACGACGTATTGTCAATTAATAATGTTCATTTCCATTCTCATATCCTGGTGAGCTTGAGATGAAAAATACCACAGAGTCTGACAAATCTATTTCTTATTTGGAAATTTTACTTGAAAAAGACGTTAATGGTAATCCAAGAACCAAGCTTTATGACATACGTAATGACTTTAACTTTTCAATCGTCAACTTTGTTTACTTACGCAGCAATATACCTAGCTTTATCACCTGCATACGGAGTTTATATATCTCAGTTGATTCGATACACAAGAACATGCTCTACGTATGAACAATTTCTAAAACGAGGAAAATTATTGACAAACAAGTTGATGAAACAAGAATATCAGCAGTCTCGTTTAAAGTCATTATTTCGTAGATGGAACAGCAGTTTTTTTTTCAAAGTTCATAAGGACACTACACAGGACCGATCGATCTTTAAGAAACATTTAATGTTTGTACTAAATCCGTGGAACTGTAACATCATACTCTCAAAATTTAATTTAATTATATGTGTCAGTGTATCAAAAATATTCATGAATTGTCTACATCAATATCTATCTCTAAGAGGGGAATCTGATATTACATATTCTTATGAAAGCTACTATAAATACTTGGTGAGATTTTATTTTCTACAGACACACTCCCCGTCCTTTCTCCATTACAATATGAAAATCTACATGTTAGGTTAATCATTTTTGTGTAGGATAAGAGGAAAACCGCTATCGCGATTAAGATACTCAAAGGACTAATATTTTATAAAAAGTGCAATATTTGTTTGTTAAGTATTTGAAGAAAAATATCCGTAAAAATATTCAACTGAAATACAATAAACCGTTATTGAAACCGTTATTAATATTTTCGAAAAAAAGAAAATTTCGCATCCTTTGCTTTAATTGTAATCATAAAACTAAATATCAAAAAGTCGACTTTTATAAATTTATCAACATAATTCCTTTGAATAAAAATGTGAAGTTCCTTTGTTACTATATATAGTTGATAATACGCAGGCATAATACGCAGGCATAAAGGAGAATATATTAACATGTATAAAATATTTTCTCCTTTCTTAAGAAAACAGCGATTATTTACTTGCTTACCTCTGAGCAAGCCCCAATGTATATGATGTTTTTCATTCTAATTGTTAGTTCATTATTTATATACTGAACTGACGACGGATTTTTCCGTTATTTCCCGATCATGACAAGGAGCACACGGTGGGTGTGACCGGCCGGCAGGGGATGCTTATTCCTACATGGCACCTGATCCCACCTTTGATGTTTTATAGATCCATGTTTGTTCTGCTCTTATTTTGTATTGTGTTATGGACTTTTATTTGTGTTACCGGTATGGACTTCTGATCTTGAATATTGTTCATTATCTCCATATGTTTCAATCTTGACCAGCAGTTCTTCGATCAATGAAACTTACAATAATACAATACTTAAAATACTTAATTTTATTTCATATTTATTTTAACTACAAATAAAAATATAAACAATAAAATATTAGTATGGGAACTTTGCACCTTTTGCAGAAAAAATTGCAGGACCAGCTTACGCTGAAAAGGGATTTTTTCTGCAACAGATGCTAGTAATCAAAGAAAACATTAAATTGTTTAAAATATTCCATTTACAAACTTGCACTTATTTCAAAGAAAAAAAATACTTACCTATGGAAATCATAAATCCGCTAGTCGTTTTTTTCTCTCTCACATCTAATATTTCTATTTACAGGGTTACAGACTCGAAGGAACTGTTACGCTAAACTTCTCCTCGGTAACAATTCTTCTGTGTGTTGAATATTGGATTACCCTTTATAATTCTGTAAAAAAAACAATAAGGCATCTTTACTTATACCGCATAATACATCGATCTGACTTGAACCAGATTATCTCTGTTTAAATCACAGTTATGACGCACGGGTATTTGTTTTAGAATCAGCTCTCTTTACCAGCATATGCAAGCTTAATAGAATGTTGATTTAGGAGTTGCCTCCATGTCAATTGCAGGAATATTGTCCAAAATTAATACGCACATCCAGCGCGAGTACCATTAGGTTTAACATATCCATTTCTTTGATCATTTAAGCAGGTTTTAATTTGATGTTGAAATTAATTTCAGAAATTGGTATACAAAGCATCTTCTTTTTTGATTTCACCATTGTGTTACCTTCTAGTTGAAAAATCAAGTGAAGCAGAGATTAAGAGATCAGTTTATCAAAAATGCATTCAATTAATAATTTGAAACAAATTTACAAAATTTTTAAGATTGATTTTTGTAATGCACTCAAAAAATATTAATAAAATATATCAAGAATGTCAAATATTCCATTAGATGAAAAGTTTGTAATTTCCAGCAGACGAATTTCATTTCATTTTAGAATGTAAAACACTGAATAGTATCAGAAAGAATCTTTTACAACCCAGATATTGTAAAACGCCAAATACACTTAAGTTTAGTGAAATTATGTCAACGACAAATTTAAAATCTTTAAAAAACCTTTGTATATTTATATCTAAAATAATTCTTCAACTGTAATAAGATTATTTTCATGCCTCTCATTTATGTGACAATCGACTAATTTAACTTAGCTGATGTTGGTGTTAGTGAAATAAATACATTTGAAATTAATTTCGTATCAATGTTCTTATGAAAAATCGGCGAGTAATTTTCAATATTGATTTTTAAATCAAGAAAGAGAATCATTTTATTGCAAGAAACAAATTCGAATTCAAGATCGAGAAAATCAACTGTAATAAGATTATTTTCACATTGACACGAACTTAGCAGGTACATTTGTATATATACCTTATATCACGTGTAATTTTCAACATTGATTTTTAAATCAAAAAAGAGAATCATTTTATTGCAAGAAACAAATTAAAGAAAATCGGTGACATTTAATGAACATTAATGCTCTACATTAATTACATCCAATATCAATTTTCGACGTTATAAGACTAATTTAAATTGCCAGAAACTCAGGGTATTTAACAGGTTTTTTAGGTATTCTTCTCGAAGTGTTATTGAGGAAAAAACGACAGGACACAAACAAAGCAAATAATAATAATACAATAGTGATAATGATAATAATTTAAGAAAAAAAAAATCAACAATTTCTTCATTAATAAAAACCAGTGTCTAACCTGAAAGTGTTTATTGAAAAAAGCAGACTGCCAATGAACCCGTCTTACACGTATGCTTGTTTTTGACATCAATAGAAAGCACAGAAATAATTATGCAGAAAGGTTTGTAAAAGAATAAAGAACTTGGTTTTGAAGGTTTCAATGGGCAATTAATTTAAGAGCATTACAGATTGTAAATACATTCATTCTTTTAAAAAAATCCAAAATTACATCTTCCTACGTCTCAACCAATGTTAACATTAATTTTATAGGATGCTCTCAACTTTTTTTCTGGTGAACATTACAACTCTGGAAATGTATTTTGAGTAATTCGATTCACCTGCCATGAGCAATAACGAATTCTATTCAAAACGTACTATCGCGATATTTACAAAACTCTTCTGTTGCTAATTTTCGTTTGCTTGGATTAATGCAACAAGAACAAATGGGTTTTTTGCTAAAAATACACCTTTTAATTTCAATAAGGAGTAGCAAGGTTTTAATTGTATTTATTGATATGGTGCTTTGTTAAAAAAATATTTCGGACACTGACAAAGTGCATTCATCTGCCATCTTAATTGTGATATTGGATGATTTTTCTTAGCATTAACATATTGAGTAATTTTGTTTTTAAGTTGATTGCTTTAACGTAATATTATTTTTTTCATTCATATTGAGGCGCTTCAGGTGAAAAAAAATCTACCAAAAAGATAATTTATAAATCATTTAATTAAGTACAAGTGCTGATGGTTATTTACAATGATAAAAAATATAAGCATAGGAGAGAATACAGATACCTATGAGCTATTTATGGTTATGTCTTGTTTCATAGTCAAAAGAAAAAGAAGGGAACAATTATCTATATCGAATATGCATTTCTAATGGTGAATTGATAATAAAACTTAATGTAAATCCAATAATATGAAATACACTCTGCACATATGTATCTCTAGTCATTAAGTGAAAAACACATAGTTCTCATAAAAAGCTAAGAACTCTGAACACCTATAAACACTTCTATAAACAACCATAAAATATAATTGCATCGAAAAGAAATAAAAGCCATTTTACGTTCGTATTCTATACATGAAGATTCTCAACATTTCATTACTTCCATAATCTTTGGCTGAAACATTCACAGAGTAATCGAGTTGATTAACTTAAAAAGCAAAGTCCTAGACGTCACCTGCCGTTGTCAACGGTAAAGATAAATGTAGAAAAAGATCGGCAAGGCTTGCTCTTAAATCTTAATTATGAAGCACCTCTTGACAAATTTACACAGCCAAAATCGATACAAAAGTACTATCTTGTTTTGAGGGTACGGAAGTCGATTCATCAGATGTAAAGATGAAGGAAAAAGTAATAAAATATACTGTTCTCCGTATTGTTTATTGATTGTTTGATTAAAATTATCCACCCTGAAATGTCTTTCGAAGAAGGGGTTATATTTTTGAAATACTTATAGTTTAAGATCTGTTAACAACAATAAGTTTGTCCATATAGTTTGATTGTTTTGTCAATATTATTTTGCCTTGAAAAAGTTTCAAGAGAATTGACTTGTACGTTAACAAAAATAAAAAAAAGAATAAGAAGGAATAAAAAAAATATTGAGTATTCTATTTTCTTCTTTTTGTTACAGAGATGGCCCTTTCGAAAAATTTAACACCTGCAACAGCACCCCTACTAACAGGTTGGGCACAGTTCCTTTTTCGGGGAATTATTACTATAAAAGGGAACTATTACCCTTTTCAGTAATAAAAACATTACTGAATTGGGGAATTTTCACTTGTTTAGCCTCTATTCTCGTGTTTGTTTTGAATAAAAGATAAAGTGCAAGAATATTTTCACATCCTCTAAATATCTATTGTCTATTAAGTGTATGTGTGCTCAAAACTGCGATATTTATTGCTGCAAAAAGCTGAAAAAGAGTGATGAAATATTTCTATGATATAGATTTCTTATGGAAGCTTACCTGTGTTAAAATTGTGATAATGGATACATTCAGCACTTGCTAACTTGTTCATGAGATTATTCGTTCTATCTTAATTTTATACTATTTCTTTATGTGAAATCGTAATAATAATTTTAAATACCATTGCTTCTTTTACAGATGAAAATAATTATTTGAAATATTATATTTCAAACAACATTCTTTTAAAATGGTTTTAGAATGAATGTCCTTATTAGATTCCATACTTTTAGTACCATTTATCTACAGTGAAAATGATGAAATCTCATCTTACTCTTGTCTGCAGCACTGAATGACCGAATTTTTTGGTCAGAGAGGTTTGTTTGACAAAGATTAAACACATCACATTGTATATTTTATGCACTTTTTATTTAATAAATGGATAAGAGCCATTATTTGAAAAATGTGACAAAAGTTCCTGAATTGAGTAAATAATGTTTTTATTACTGAAAAGAGTAATAGTTCCCTTTTATAGTAATACTTCCCCGAAAAAGGAACTGTGCCCAACCTGTTAAATGCATACGAGAAGCTGCTCGTTTTCCTTACCCTTGAAGTGCTGGTGTTCTGAACCTGACACTAACTACGTATACATTTTATTTTAAAACATATTTTTCTCTAGTTAACAACAAAAAAACGCCCGTGATATTTTTCATAGTTTGTAATGTTTGCATTTTGTTCATAAGAACATTTTTTTTTATTTTGCTCTCCACTGATCATAGATTGACCGGAACCACGTGTTCGAAGTAACATGTAAACATCTATTTGGCGTAAACGTATTCAATCATCAATTGGTCGTGGTAAGATCCTCTGTGCCTATTAATAGCAATAGCCATATAAGACAAACAAAGGTTTGTCAGTGTAGATGATAATACACATTTTTTTACCAGCGTATATATCAGTCGCTAGTGAGCGGTAAATTTTTGCAGTAAACTATGATAAGATGTCTTAATTGTTATTTAAACCCCCCCCCACCACCACCACCACTTTAGCCACCATATTCTGTTGAAAATCATGAAAGTCTTTCAGAAAGTTGTGGAAACACATTTTTCACAGGACATGTTCTCAGAAGAAACAGACTATAGCAATTTCCTGTTTACTACCAATTTTATTTATAAAACCGGTTCTACCCTATAACCTTTGAATAGGTAAACCTAAACCACGTGTCTTGAATTTAAATCACAATAACATTAGTAGGGGTGAACAGACTGTTTCACATTAGTTGCGGTACTTCTCTTTTGCAGGCAAAATGATATATTTTGGCGAAAATCACGACTATTGTACAAATGTTGAATGTACGTCATTTAATTATTTGTCGATTAAAACTTCACCAAACGTTACTAATTTTCCCTGCAAAAGAGCAGTGCCACAGTTATCGCCAAAGGCCTCAGAAATAAGATTGAGGAAATAAAAATATATATATATATATAAAACCAAAAACATCAGGTTGTATAAAAAGTGGTATATTTTCGAGAATAGATGAAATATCTTGTTGACAGAATTTCGGTTGGTCTGATCAGAGCTCCAAGACAAATAATTATTTATCAAAACTCAAGTAAGTTATAAGAAAAAGTAGTAATTAACATTAGGCAGAACTATCTTAAAAAGTACAAGTCACGTATCGGGGTATTTTCTTTTTTTTTTTAAAAATCTTACTTACTTATTCACTGTTAGGTAAAACTTGTCCTTTATCAAAGATTGTGAAGCGTATAACAGCTAACAAATATCACT